TAGCTGCACCACAGAGCAACACTGCAAAGTTCACTAAACATAGATGTTTACAGTTTTCATTTATTTCTTATATTGCAAACATTTGCACTGTTATCAGTATTTGCACACTATTTTATATTATTTTTTGACAATCTTTAAAGCCATTATTCAACACATTGTTATTGTTAAATAAATATCGAGATCTCAATTTCAGTGAAAATAATCGTGATTATCATTTTTGCCATAATCGAGCAGCCCTAGCTCCAGTGATATTGGTAAAAATACATCTTTTTAGTATGTAATGCTTAAAGGTGAAAGGTCAGAAATAGGCATGTTGTTATACAAACATAAAACATACAATATTTAGTCTCCCTCAGGCAGAGTTTTGCTGTCTGTCTTCTTCTTTTTTTAAAAACATAGTTTTTATACTTTCAATGTTTACATTTTAAAAAACATTTTATGCCGACTAAAAAAATGCATTATTGTTTTTTCTTTTAGGAAGAACTGGGGTAAAAATTCAGATGTTCTGGAACACCTACGTTCTTTAGCTACACAGAGGTAATCTGTGTCTAAATGCTGGCTCTCTCTGTGTTTTTGAAAAAGTCTCCAACATGTTGTCTGCTCAGATTTTTTTCCACACATATATCAAAGGTCATATGTGGAATAAGCAATGTTTTTGTGTGTGTGGGGTAGTATCCATCAGACAGACAGGTTTATAGGACAGAAAATAAATTTAATAAGGGCTTGATTATTTTTTTATATATTTTTTATATTTCAAATTTATATTTTATTATTATCAGACAAATTGCTTGTGATTTGGATAATTTATTTGAATGTAATTTATCCATCATGTCGCTGATTATTGTTGTTGTTTTTGAGCAATTGTCTATTTTTAATGACCTTTTTTATATTTGAAAACACATTTCAAAAAGAAAATGCATTTGTGAAACAGTTTTTCTCTCTAAATGTCGTATCTGAGCATTATCTGAATGTATTTTTCATAATGTTTAGTATAATCTCAGGGAAATCGATTTTTTAAAAATAATCTACAGTTTTAAAAATGTGCATTTTTACAATTGTTTTAAATTTTCTTTCAGGGATTTTGCTTCAGGAGACCTTCCGGAATTTGGACAGAGCTATGGGTGCCCACAGACAGACAATATAAGGCATATGGACAATAATGTTGATGAAACATTTTATAACAGAGAGTGAGTATTATGTAATCAGGGTTTGATCATAGTTTAGAGGGTAGAGTGACGTCAGTTTAAAAGTTTGTGATTCCAGTTAATTGTGATGTAATTGCAAAATCTCTGACTTTTGCAATTCTGTATTATTGTCATTATCATCATCATCATCATCATCATTATTATTATTAATAGTATTACTTTTTTATGTTCACTTTTTTAAATTAATTTTACAAAAGTTTTAGATTTAATAACAGATTTTTTAAAAAATATTTTGAAACCATAAACTGGATCCATTCATAGCCTAAAGCCTACTTTACCTATAAACTGACAAAGGAAACACGGAAATCACTTTAGTTTTTCACAGATCAAAGTAAAAGAAGTTTTGATTGATTGAACACGTGTTCCTAGTGTTTGTTCTGTGTTCTACCACCTCTGCAATTCCAATAGTGTTACGGAATCTTAGGAGCAGGTCACAATCAAGTGTAACAACATTTATACATTTTCTCCATCACTAAATTAGTATGTGCGCATTTCTGTGACAATTTGAAGCAACAGGGACTCTATAATGCACTTAAAAGTTGCTGCAAATAAAACAATTCTAATTCTAATTTAAATATCTTTGGAACCACAAGTAAACCAGCAGTCTGAGAGCAAAGTGCTCTATTGGGATGATAGAGGATTTTATGGTAATTAGGTTAAGATGGGGCCTGGTCATTTAAGACCTTGTATGTAAGAAGAAGGACTGGGGTTTAACAGGACAACAGAGATGTTTTCACTGTCACAGACCAAGAAGATCTTTTGTAACCTTCACTAAAGCTGTTTCTGTGCTGTGATGAGCTCTGAAACCTGACTGAAACTTCTCAAATAAACCACTGCAGATGATCTGTTAGCTGTTTTACAACTACTCTTTCAAGACTTAAGTAGTCACTTGGAAAACTTTTGAGAAAACGTTTTCTCTCTGGAAAACATTATGTCCATGTGGTGGGGCGTGGTCTGTGGTGGCGTGCAGGGAGGGC